TTTGTGGTTTTTAAAGTTTGTTAGTAGTTTGTTTTAGTTTTAGTTTTTTTTGTTTCGTTTTTTTTTTTGTGTGTACTGACCAAATATCTACTCTGGCTTGTCAAAGCGTGTCAAAACATAGCGACATGGATCCGACTTTGTTCCTATTTTTGGCGTCCAACCAATCAGATTTGAGGGACAAGCTTACATGGTTAGATGCCTCTACATCAGTGTTATTCACCAGTCATTTCCCTTATGATTTTAGAAATAACTTAGGGGTAGAGTTAGGATTAGGGATAGGAATACATTTTCAGACAGGAATGTTGTTCCAGGATCAACAAAATATGTTACCAGGCAAAATCATGGTAACCAATTGAAAAAAACATCACAACATTTATTTCCATCAAGAGGTGCATCTTTTTGGTCAAGTTCTTGTATTGACGATGCAAGAGTCCAGCTCTCTGTAAAGTCTCCTCCAGCACACCCCAAAGACTTTCAATGAATTTAAGAGTGCAAATTAATGTGTGAATATGATTCTTCATGCTCCTCCCAACCATTCTTTCACAGTTTGAGCCTGATGAATCTTGACTTTGTCATCCTATGGCCATGATGTGTTTTCCTAGAATGGTTGTTTAAGAAATGAAAAGCTACACACTCCATCAATTAGGGTTAGAAGAACTGTTGCCAAACATATAACATGATAGAAACATAATAATCACTGTAATAATGATCCAAATATCGACAACATTTTTTTTTTTTTTTGGCAGGGTGTGTGTGCGCCAAGATAACACTGATGTGTCATGCACCTGAAGGGAACATTCAGGACATACTGTACGAGCATGAGAATAGAAGATGATTTACTTACTTTTTACCCAAATGACGTGCAACGTCACACTTCCTGAAGCCGTCGAGGTTGAAGAGGCGTTTGGCCAGACGTTTGGCAGCTTCCAGGTCGGCACGGTTGCTGAGAGTGTCATTACTCCCTAAACCCAAACGCTCACTCAGTTCCTGATCCAACTCTGGGTCTGCAGCGAAGCGAGGAGATTTCTCTCTGAACAAATACACAAACACACACAAAGTTCTTTCTGTTGTGCTGAAGAGACCGGTGATCTCTGAACGCATTGAAACATGCATTTACAATACTCAAATCCTGAACTAAATTTCCTCACTGAAAATAATAGATTTATTTTTGTTGTTGTGGTATTTTTTGTAAATGATGAAAACAGAAATATAATAGACTAAGAAACACTATTTCATGCTAAACCTTGGAACTTTCCTATAAGAAGCACAAAAGCCATTACAAGATATACAAAAAGTTCTGACAAACCTCTTCCGAGTTACAATTTTCCACATTTTTTAATAATACAATCATACAGTAATAAACAAATAAAAGTGTGGGAATTATATAGAGACCAAAAACAACTGTTCTTCAATATAGCCGACAACATTAAACTAAATGACAAAAATATTCATAAAGCTTCTTGTATTGTTTGAAAGGAGATCACATGTTAAATCAGGTTGAATCAATTTACACTAGTAACACTGCTGTTACTGTAGTTTATGTGGGATTTTGGCATAAACTGTGCTTTCCAAGCCGAATAGCAATCACAAACAGCTTTACAGTCAGAAATCATTTCCACTTTGTAATTCTGTTAAACTGTTATTGCGACCTATTGATCCGATTTCCCCTGGTTTCTATAAATGAACGTGGGAGGCTGAATGCCAGCAGTCCTCTCTCTTTCTGACCTTCTTATCAATGACTCATGCTAAAACAAACCATGGGCAGAAATGTGTGAAACTCAAATAAAGACGTCTGGAAGCAGACCAGTTCTTAAAGAGACAAGCACGACAAATGAGTGGCTACTCCATTTCAGGGTTATTATTGTTGGTAACAATTTATTTGAAGGTGACATAGTTACATGTATGTACTTACTATAGTAATAACAGTAAATTATGCATTATTACAAGTAACTAACCTAAACCAAACACTAACCACAAGCGTAACTCTATAATAAATATTAATCATTTGAGTAAGTAATGTAACTACGTCACCTTTAAATGAAGTGTAACCAATTAAAATGAAAACAGAAAATATATAAATAAAATCTAACTCAAAATATTAACAAAAACTATAATTGGAATACAGGATCAATGATAGTAAATAAAATAACACTGCTCCATATTTCTGGATGGATCATCTAAGGGTGAACAATTTGATAGTCAGACGCAATTTTAGCCTGAAGAATAAACACACCATTAGAATTAAAAGCATCACCACTAAAAGCATCAAACCACTAACAAAATAGACAAATGCATTAATAAAAATCACTTGGCTGCAGTAAATGCACACAGACTCTCAAATGTGAGTCAACTCATTTTGGGTGTTTGGGGTTGTTGCTAGGTTTCTACAACAGTTAGTAATCAACCATTTCCGCTGAATACTTTTATATGAAACTCATTAGGACAATGAGAGTCTAATACAGGAGTTCAGTGATGATCTGCATCTTCCCCAGCCGCTTGCACTTGTACCTGTTCAGTGTGTGGCAGCGGGTCAGAACGCTTCTCTCCTCCAGCGCAGAGCAATGCCAGCAAAACACTGAGTGCTGGGCTTTTCTTCTCACACCATCTCTGCCCAAACGCCTCTCTGCTGTGACTCTCTGGATCTGAGCCATGTTTGTGTGAGCGCTCGCTCGTCCAGCGATACGCTCAATATCTCCTCAGGTGTTCGTGGACATGATCTCCACTGCTGTTATAATCTCGCTGTGACTCAATTAATCTGCCGTTTATGTCTGTATTCTAACGATCCTGAAATTCCCATCCATCCTTGCTTGAACTGTTTAGTACGGCTCACAAACTTGACAGATTATTCTATCCCAATAGGTTTCCCACTGATTACTCTCTCTCCCTCTCTTTGTGAACTTTGTTGACGCTCCCTAATGACCTTCTCAGTTCAGTGTGGCATGTGACATCTCTCAGTCTCTCCTCACTTCACACGCACTTTACAATGTAAACACATCTTGTTTTATTTCTCACGATTCTTTAGAATAATGATAAGCAAAACACTCATTTGGTCACGAACAGACTGCAGCTGAATTCCCTCCTCAAGCGAGTGTTTCCCAGCTAACAATTTTTGGTTCCCAGAACGTTCTCAGAACGTTAGATTTTGGTTCCCAGAACGTTCTCTGAACGTTATTTTTTGGTTCTCAGAACGTTATTTTTTATAGTTTGTTTTTGGTTAGCCAGGAAAGTTTTCTTAACGTTCTCAGAACATTAGTTTTTGGTTCCCAGAACGTTCTCATAACGTTAGTTTTTGGTTCTCAGAAAGTTAGTTTTTGGTTCCCAGACCGTTAGTTTTTGGTTCCCAGAACGTTATCAGAACGTTAGTTTTTAGTTCCCAGAACGTTAGTTTTTAGTTCCCAGAACGTTATTTTTTGGTTCCCAGAACGTTAGTTTTTGGTTTCCAGACCGTTAGTTTTTGGTTCCCAGAACGGTCTCAGAACGTTAGTTTTTGGTTCCCAGAACATGGTTTGTTTTTAGTTAGCCCGTAAAGTTTTCTTTACGTTCAACAACAATTCATCTTTTTTTTTTTACTTAAATAAAATACAACAGTAAATCTATATAAATAATCAACCTATACAGTCCATGTTTTTGTCGATTCATTGTTTAATTGTTGATTAAACACACACACACACACACACACACACACACACACACACACACACACACACACACACACACACACACACACACACACACACACACACACAAAACCACAATCATATAGGCTATGCATCACATTCAACACATGCGCAAAAGGCGAAACGAAAACAAAGTAACTACGAAAACATTTTTATTAGTAGTCTAATTGTAGATCATGCACTTGAAAGCCTCTTCCATCTTCACCACAGTCACCTGCAAATATAACAAATAGTAACATTATTATATAATGTTTCTCATGGGATCGTACAGTATTTTCAACATTTACGGGGGTTAGTTGGTGATTTTATATATCTATCTATATTTGACATTCATAATCAATGCTTTTGTCGGTTCTTTGTGACCGCTTTTAGGTGCTTTATCGGCAGCGCCGCCGCCACCCTTACATGTTACATGAACGCGTCACCACCGCACCAAAAACATGATTGCGTGATTAAAACATGAAAAATACCACCTAAACATAGCCTAACTGTTTAGAAAGAAAACACAGAACGATTAGCCTAATGCGCATATCCATCTCGTGAATGTATAGTCTTCTTCATGCCATTGCCATCTTCATCCACACTGTAAACCCTAATGTTGTCTTTACTTAAACAATCAAGTGTACTTGACTAAACATTACTTTAAATTTAGCATTTTGGCCCTGTCACTCAAAAATATAAGTTCAAATAACTTATTTACCTTCAAAATACATAAACTTAAGATTTCAAGTGCTATGAGCTCAAAATCATGATTAATCCTTACAAAAGGTCATTTTCACAGATGTTGTTTTCTTGACTGTGAAATGAATACATTCATACATGCTTTCTTCAAGTGCAAGGTGTCATTCTTATTTTACCAGAAAACAAATGGCTTTCATTATATTACAATTATTGATCGTAATGGAAATAAACTGATTTTTGTTTTTAAATCTGATACTTTAAACTTGATAAATAAACTTTAATACCCATAATACAGTACATCCCCAGTGTTAAATTTACATTGCTCAGTGTTTATATGAGTCCACACTCAAGAGTGTTATAAGTAACACTGAACCAGTGTTAAAGTTAATGAGATAATTAAGTGATTAATTGAGTGATGATTGAGCGTCATTTGTACAAGTTCTGAAAGTTAACACTGAAAAAATCTAATAAGTTGATTGAACTCAATTGATTTGAGTAAACTCGTTCCCTCAATTTAATTGAGTAATGGGGTCTCCCAAAACGTGCATATTTAAGTGTACTTAACTTGGTGCTTATGTAGACTTGACTTAAATTGTTTAGTTCACCAAACTTAGTCGATTATTTAATGTACTTAAACAATAAAGTTCACTTAACTTAGTGTTGATTTCAAGTGTACTTGTATATTTAAGTACACAGCAAAATCCCCCCGTGTTAAATTAACACTGCTCAGTGTTTATATCAGTCCACACTCAAGAGTGTTAAATGAACACTGAAGCAGTGCTAAAGGTAATGAGATAATTTAGTGAATAATTGAGTGATGATTGAGCATTATTGAAGTTACCTGATGTTAACAAGCAGAATCACTGAAGGAGAAAACCATAATTTTTAAGTCACCGTTATGGTGATAAGTGTTTGTTTTAGTTGGGCTCTTGACCCTTTGATCATTAACTTTATATTTTGTTTGACTGCTGTAACTCAGTTATAACAGCCAGATGAACAAATAGAAAAGGTGATCTGATGGTGGTGATTGTGTTTTAACATAATCATTATTTCACAATCTTTTGACCTGATTCCTAAACTCATTTAAAGCCCAATTTCCGAATTAGATTTATGTTATTAATTATAACAACACTGTCCTTGTACAGCATAACATTTTCAATGATTACATCATTATGCAAACAATTTCTTTAAAGTTGTTCTTATACATATTACCGTATATTATTTTTAGACACACCGACATCAAGATTCAGCGTATGATTCTCAGCAATGGTGATAAACGGATCACCTCTGAACATAAGCTCATTATTATTCATGCAGCAATGCATGATGGGAGCCAGTTTTGATTGGTGGCCCCCAAAATGCACTGCAACATGCTTTATGTCACCATTGTTGAGATTCACAGGCTGATTCTTGATATCTATGTGTCTAAAATAATATGATCTACATATTTTTTTATGATAACAACCTTAAAAGAGAATATTTGGATTAAAATTTAAATGTTACAAATATTATTTAAAATATAAACAGTGCAGGTGAACATGATTCAGCTTTATGTGACTTCAAAGATTAAATTCCAATAATTATAAAATAATGATTATGTTAAAACACAATCACCACTATCAGCTGACCTTTTCTATTTGTTTATCTGGTTACAACTGAGTTACAGCCGTCAAACAAAATATAAAGTTAATGAGTTAAGGGTCAAGAGCCCAACTAAAGCAAACACTGATCTCCACAACGGTGACTTAAAAATTATGATTAATATCACTTAATCACTTAATTATCTCATTAACTTTAACACTGCTTCAGTGTTACAGTCTACATAAGCACCAAGTTAAGTACACTTAAATATGCACGTTTTGGGAGACCCCATTACTCAATTAAATTGAGGGAACGAGTTTACTCAAATCAATTGAGTTCAATCAACTTATTAGGGTTTGCAGTGCATTAGCCGCTTTTCCACTGGCCAGCGCGAGCACAGAGGCCGAAATCATGCCTCACAGCACTCCTGTAAAAAATAAATCGCAATACATATATATCAGACGCTACCATTTAGTCTTTATTTACAAACTTGGACACCACACGCGGCTACTGACTGACCACGAACAGGTCTTAACCTACTTGCATTTTTCATTCGTTAATGTCTCGCGGTCTTGCTGTTTTTTTGTTTGTTATACAATTAAAACTAAAAGTCTGTTGTAACGCAAGCCTTACTGAACATGTAACGAGTAAAATATTACTGAAAATTGATTAGTAATGCCTTACACTACTGTGTTACAGCAAAAAGTAATATGTTACTCTAATGTATTACCTTTGTAACGCGTTACTCCCAACACTGTTCATAGCGTCTTCGAGATGATGATCAGGACAAAAACTCCTCAGCTACGGTGCAGGGCATCAACATTGAAGGATCTAGGAACACCACAAACCATTTGTCACAGAGCCTGAGCCAACAATATTATTATACAATGCCAGGTTTATTAAAAGGAAAAAGCTACAGCAGAGGGGAAATGCAGAAAAGAGAACGAATATACAGAAAATAATTTCTTAATTAGGATAACAGAATTTATTTTTAGGTTTGCTTATTCATTTAGTATTGCTCATACAGTGTCACTTGTTTGGATGTCAAAACCTTAAAATAAATTATACACTTTAAAAATGTAAATTTGATCAATTAAAAAAAATAAGAAAATGACATGCATGGTCATATAGATAAAATATTGTGACAAAATGGAAGTTATTTAACGAGCTTCCTCGGTTCACCTGTGTTTCCTACATCTCTGGCAGCAGCTTTCTTCAGAAATGTTGAAGCTGTGGAGCTTCCACTCTGTTTTAGAGGGGTTATTTTGTTGCTGCTGAAATCACAGAATTTTTTTTTATCAATATTTGTTTACCACTGAGCAGCTAGTTTCAGCCAATGTTCAAGCTCCATGTAAGTGACGTCACCGATTAACAGTAGGCTACATACCTTTGTTTAAATTTATTTTAAATAAATTAGCTCACTTCCAAGTAAAACCTTTACAAAAACTCTCATCTAAGAGATGATTAAAAGCCCAAACTTTCATAAACAAAAGCTCAACCGAGTTAATGTTACCTTAACGATAAGTTACCTCTTCTGAAAACGGTTTAGATGCCAACGGACTTTTTCCGAAGACACTAAACCATGTGTATAAAGTAAATATTCAACAAAAGTGTGTCAATTACAAGTAAGAGAAGTGTCAAGAACAGTTGTGTGTATTATTTGTGTGATTTTAGAGACTAATCTCACCTGAAAGCAGTGAAAACAACAGCGAGAGAGGGAGTTTTGCTGCTTGTCAGTCGCAGTAGTCCCGCGTCGTTTCCATGGCAACTCTGCGCCGCTCCAATGTTTGCGACTCGAAAGTTCACGCGCACGGCCATTGATTAAAGCACGTCAAAAGCATGCATTGCAACATTTACAAATATAAATATCTAGAATTAGAACATTACTTTAAAAAAATCTCATAAATATTAAATTATGAATTTAAAACTAATTTTGGAGATCTATGGCCCGTTCTATAATAGTTTAACAAATATGAAACTAAATGTAGCCATTAAATAAGCACATTTAGTTTCATATTTGTTGAACTAATATAATTGTTATTTTTTTCCCCATCTGCTGATTATGAAAATTGAACAACATGAGTAAGATGAGCAATATATCGGGAGACATGATGGGTCAGACATGATTTTGACCACTTCATTAAGTTTTGTTTTGTGGAAAGCCTTTCTTTAAAGTGAATTTCGTTTTGTATAAATTATATCTTAATTTTAATCAAATTTCCATCAACCAATTGCTATAATAAATAAGAATCAAACATATAGCAGACATGACATGGAGGCGCGGCGCGATTGCATTGCGTGAACTGGAGAGCAAATCTTATCATAAATTAATTAACCGAAACTCAGGTATGCCTCACAGACATGAGGAACTATAGAATGCTTGAAATGTCAAAACAATTCAAAACGAAAATAAATCCATTATGTGCATTTCTAGGTGCCGCCCCAGAAAATAAGCGCATTATTGATGCACAAGTCATTGTAGCATTTATTGCATGATCACATTATGGAAGGTTACAACTTATTTTTTCCTTCTCAATAGAACCTTCCAGCAACGTTCTGGGAACAAAACAATAACTTAAAAAATAGTCATTAAGCAACGTTCTTTATAAGTTGTTTTGAGGTTATTCAAAAAATAACCTTCCAGCAACGTTCTGGGAACGTTGTTTTATGGTTGCAAAACAAAAACTTAAAAATAACCATTAGGGAACGTTCTCTATAAGTTGTTTTGAGGTTATTAAAAAAAGAACCTTCCAGCAACGTTCTGGGAACGTTGTTTTATGGTTACAAAAAAATAACTTAAATATAACCATTAGGGAACGTTCTTTATAAGTTATTTTAGGGTTATTTAAAAGTAACCACCCTGCATCGTTCTGGGAACGTTTTTTTATGGTTACATAAAAATAAAACCTAAAAAGAACGTTCCCCTAACGTTAGTATTTGGTTCCCAAAAAAATAACCAAACGGGAACCAAAAACTAACGTTAGGGGAACGTTATGTGTTAACTGGGTTAATCTTACTCTGTACACACAGTTTAGTTATTTACAGGTGTAACAACAACATTCTGCCACTAAAATCACTTAGATTGAAAATGTCAAATTGTCAAAGCAGAAGAGACTTTCAAAAACATCTAAACGACCCCAAACATTTAAATGGTAGTGTATATTCAGATGCAAACAGCTTTATGATAAACCTTTTCTCTGTCAAAACGGAAATCAAAACAGTCTTTTGCTCTCTCTTTCTCTCTTTCCTTCTGAGGTTTTCTGTGTCACTGGGCTTAAAGATTGTTTAAGCTTCTCCACAATGATGCTACTGTTCCTGCCATGCTGAATGAACAATCACACAAACAATTTTAATTGGCATAACAACTGAGCACGCAAATGATACGATATCTAAGGATTTGATTGGCTCATAGGTTGGCTGCAGTGCAAATCCATTATGCATTGTAAATTTTATTACTTAACCTGTTGCACCGGATCTATTACCAACTTAGGAATTCCAATGCAATATTTTCTAATGAAATGTGCATGGTTTGATCAATATATATGCAAAAGCGATGCTTTTAATTCTAATGGTGAGCTTGGTTGGGTCTGATAGTGACACAAATAGCACTTATGAACGACTGTCACCGCCTAGTGGTTCAGTTGAGCTACTACAGGAGTGATGTATTGTGCAGTGCTGCAAGGTGACTCCAAACACACTTAACATTTTACAGCAGATGCTAACTTGTTTTATGAGACAAGAGACATGGCAGATCTAAAATATATAAGAGTATACATCCTATAAATAAGGATTTATGGATCAAAATTCCAATTGTGAAAATAAATATAATTTCTCAAACTATTCCCAGCCTCTATGTTTGTCTCAAGGTGATCTATGCGGCGGTTACTTCAGTTCTCTGCCAGCAATCGGCTTTGTCTTTCATCTGTCCTCTCGCACACACACACACACAGGAAATATTGCTTACAATCCACCTCAAGAAATTCATCCCTATACTGTCAAACCAAACTGAAAATAGAATGTGTATATAATTAATAATAAATAAAATAAATTAAATATTACATATAAAATCATATCAATTAATATAAGCTTAGAAATCACAAGTGCCCCCTCCCCTCCCACAAATTATACCATTTTAAATTTAAATAATATGTTGCCATTACAAAAATATTTATGGCTTCTTGATTATGGGTTGAAATATTGGGCATTTTGAATCATTTTTTGGCACTTTTCCTCAATATTCACCAAGATTCAAGTCATAGTAAATCAAAGTACAGTATGTTTCACTTCAGAAGAGACTGTTGGTAGCAAACTCCATCTGCTGGAGAAACTGAGCTATTGCAAAGACTATATGAGTCTAGTGTATCTGTATAACAGGTATGCTCAGAATGGCATACTTCCATACCACTACATTTTCCACAATTTACAGTATACAACCAGAGCACACTACTAAGTTTTCCAACCTAAAACACACAATTCCTCACTTTAGTGATGAAAATGACACAAACCTGGGCAGTGAAAGTGGTGGGTTGATCTGCCAGCTCCGCCCGTTGCGATCGTCGGACCCACTGCTGAGGCGTTCACTGGATGGTGCCCGTGTGGCATCGGTGTCCCCTGTTATCGTCAGCACAGACTCTGAGAGGCTGGGCATCTCTACGTGAGCCAATGGAGCAAAGCTGAGCTCCACGATTTGCCGCACACTCTGGTAGATCTGACCCTGCACTTGTGGAGTCAGTGTGGGAAGGTCAAAGGTCAGAACAGTTTGAGTACTAGAGGTCAGAGGGTCAAGACTGTCCAGACTACTGTAAGAGGTGCCTTTGGCACGATGTGACTCCATGATGTTCTCAAAATGCCTGCTGAATGTGTCTAAACTGTCTCCGGACTTTCTTCGAGGGCCACGGACCAGGATGGGAGATTTCAGAGCTGGGTGGTTGTTAATGAAATGATCTCGGGGCCTAAAAAAAAAAAAGATTACCTTGTCATTTTTGATATTCTGCACCAGTAACACATTAAATATTTAAACAGTTTCTTGAAAGAAACCATCAGTATGCGTGTTTGCCACTTCCCACCTCTTTAGCATAATGCTGTAAAACTCCTCTTCTTCGTATCGCTCCTGATCGGCCAGCAACCTCCTCACATCGCCCTGCATCCTGACAGTGACCCAGCTCGCAACACCCTCCTCTTCCTCCTCATCCTCCTCCTCCTCCCCATCCTCCTGTCCATCTGTTCTTTCATTCGGCATCTCTCCTAGAGGGCTACTCCCGGCACAGGAAGTTCCCATGACACTTCGGTTACTTCCAAACGCTGAGTCAGCGTCCTCTTGCTCGGCTAACAGCACTTCATCTATATCGGTCTCCCGATAACATCGTAACGGAACGGCGTCCAGATCGGTCTCAGAGTATTTTAAAGTTCGCCGAATTATGCCAGTTTTGGGGGAGGTGCCTGGGGCGGCAGGGGGTGGAGTCACTAGCTCCACCTCCACATGTTGAACGTCATGATTAGCTCTGAGAGCGAGCTCCTCAAGTGGCAGAAAAGAGGGCGGGATTGGGGTGGATAGACCACTTGGTGGAGCTGTGGAGGTTTCTGGAACATCTAGATGGATAACATACAATATTCATTCAGCTATGAAGGGAAATAAATCAATCCATTTTGGTGCCATTGATACTGACAATGTTTTGCTGACGACTATTCCAGCTCAGTGATATTGCAGTGTTATCCCACTTTCACATGAGAATGCTCAATGAGTGAATTACTCAAACACTTGCATACACTTGAAATGATCTAAATGTACTTGAACCATAAAATAATCATAGAAAAAGCAATTAATTGCTTTTTTATGGAATCTAGATGATCTTTAAAAGTGACATTAAAGAGGTCAATAGGCTACTTACTCTTCTCTCGTTCACTGGCAGTGTTTTCTGCTGGAGTGCCAAAAAGAAACTCCCACTTGGCACGAGCAATTTTCTGACAGTGCAGAGATGGACCTGGCACCAAAGAACCACCATCGGACTGTAACACCCACACAAAATAAACACATTAATTTATAATAAAAAAGTGAACAGCCTCATTCATTGGAAGAAACTTTAGAATGTTCTTAAACCATTGTAGAGTCATTGGTAGAATGAAATGGTTTTATGAACAATGTCTCACCTGTATTCCTGATGATGGGTGATCTGAATGGTTGCTGTTCTGGCTGGACTCAGGTGAGATGCAATCTCTGTCTCCTAGGCTTCCCGTTACTCCACTGGAGCTCGGGGATGACCCAGCCAAAGCCTGGTGTTCTCCAAACCCCTGTTCATCCTCCCCTCTCTCCCCATCTCCCTCTTCTAATACCACTGGCCCTAGAAGCAAAGCCTGCCTTCTCCTCCATTCTGCCTGTCTCTGTTGCTGCGTTATCCTGGTCATCTCCTCTACTCTTTCCCCTGGGCTGTGGTTTGCTCCACATACTGAATTGCTAACATTCCCCTCTCCCCGTTCTGTGACCTCAACCCTTTTTTTGTACACTGGACTGCTGCTCTTGAGTGTCCCTTCAAATTTTTCTGTCAAACTGAACTTCACTTCCTCTTTCTTCGCCTGCTCTTTCCACTGCTGTCTAGATGTCCAACTGACTGGAGAATTGTCCACACTCTGACCGATGAACAACCGCCTGGAGATCTCCACGCTTTCTGAAATGACATGGTCATCCCAGTCCTCCTCGTCCAGGAACCAGGGTTCCCCGGAGGTCCACTCCTCTCCAGTGTACTGTGGAGGCTTGTGACGGTGTAAAGTGGGGCTGTTAGAGACTGGCAGGTCAGCCCTAAGCTGACGAGGATCTCGGAGAGGAGAACACACGTCTGCATTGGACAGACTTGGACGAAGAAGACGAGACGGGAGGGCTGGAGAATCAGGGGCTCCCACTGGGACAGAGCAGAATGAGTGATCAGTCAGGTCATCTCTTAAATCTGAGCTCTTAGTAGCTATTGCTTCATGCAGGTGCGGAGAAACCCCATTTGTTGTAGGATGGTCTTCATGCACAGGTATGTTCATCTTAACAGCCAAATGCTGCACTGGACTCTGTTGCAAGGTCTCATGCTGGATTTCTCTCGAAGGATACCCATAGTTTGTGCTGCTTAGATTAGATGAACCTCTGAAAACAACGGGAGGAGGAGAACTGCGGACCTCGTTGAAAATAGTTGAAACCTTGGTGGCCTCTTCTGCAATCTTGCGGGCTACCTCTGGACTGTTCAGGGCTGAGGAGTTATTGCTTCCACTAAGCTGGTTCAAACCATGAGTGGGTGTGTTTGTGAGGCTTGTTCTTTGTCCTGACAGAGGCTTATCTTCAGCCCGGCTTCCCCAACTTTGACTGACTGGTGTGGAACAGTCTTGCTTTGAAGGGAGGTTCTGGTTGGGGCATCCTTGGGACCTGGAGGTGGATTTCTGCTGGTTGTTATGCCCTGTGTGGGATGAAAAAGCATCTGGTGCTGGGCTTTTGGGGACACCACATGCAGCTTCGACCCTGCCAGGGTCAGGATCATGGCGGTAGGCACTGCAGTTTGGCACTGGTGAACCTGCCCAAGACTGGCATCGTGCCCTCTGCCGTTGGTGAAACTCCGGACTCCAGTCTGGGCCACGAGAAAACTTACACCTCATCTGGGGAGAGCCAAACTCCTCCAGGGCTCGCTGTGTTGCTGCTTGACCGACGGGATCCAAAGTAGAGGAACAAAATCCTGGATAACCCATGTGCTGGTGAAATGGACTATTATTGCAGGAAGACTCATTAGGGTGAGACCGCTTTGGATCACTACACCTCTTACGTGGGCAAGCAGATGCCTCCTTTATTCCACTGGGACTGTTACAAGGACTCTCCACAGTTTTGATGTGGGGCTTCTCAATGTAGCTAAAAGTGACCACAGACCTCTGTCCGGGCTCTGGTTTAGAGTCCTGTTGATGACTGCAGGCTCGGCAAGGCGTCCCCGGACCAGATGTCCGTCCAGAGAACGACAACGATTGGACCTGTTTCAATTGTTTACAGTCAATGTTGTTATTGAAGCCAGAGGACACCTGTTGGAATGGTTCCTGCTGGGGAATGCTGCGTCTTTGAGGGGAATCCAGAGAATTGTGTGTGGGCTGTAGTAGGAAGCTTACATTTGGTCTGAATGTGCTGCTGGGAGGTGTGGAAAATCCTGAAGCCACCTGTGCTAATTTGGTCAAAGCCTCAACAGGACCATCTTGCTCCACTGTTGTTTCACAGGAACTACCTTTCTCATCATGCTCTGGTGGGGATCTCACCTCCACATACAAATGCAGGACTTTTCCAGTTTGAGACATGGCGTCATAACAGTACAACACAAAGAGACACTGAGATGAAGACTGAAGAAAAGACAGACAGAGAGAGACAGAGATCCTTGTCCTGTTCTGGTCAGGTTGTGAAATCCTGTGACTATTTTTAGTCCATAGAGATGCCGTTCTTCAGATACCCTCTCCTGCCAGACCAGCTACAACAGATGGAGATGGCATGGACCATTGCACCTAAGACATAAGGAAGAAAAGACAATTAATGAATTGCTACCTAAATATATGGAGTTTTTCTCTTTGCCACAATTATTGTTGGTTTTCTCAAGATTTATAAAGTGATGGTGAAAGTGACGTGATGGCCAAGTATGGTAACCAATACTTAGAATTTGTCCTCTGCATTTAACCCATCCGCACACACATTAGGAGTAATGAGTAGTTAACACACTGGAAAACTGTGAACACACACACCTGGAGAAGTGGGCAGCCCGGGAAGCGAGAGCCTTGCTCAAAATGCACCTCAGTCATTTCCTTCCAGCATTGAGAATCGAACCCACAACCTTCAGGTTACCAGTCTGACTCTCTAACCATTAGGCCACGAGTCGACGGCACAATGACTTTAAAGCTTAATGCATACTTTTCTGTAAAGCTTCTTTGAAACAACATGGCTTGTGAAAAGGTTTATACAAACAAAAATGATGACTTAGACATTCATAATGGCATTAGTGCACTACATAGAATATTTATGTTGACAGTAAATGTTAAAACAGGGTCTGTAAGGACAATTAAAATTGTTCCAACATCTAAAACTTTCTTTCGAAAACAAAACAATGTAGCAGAGAAGTACAGTGCATTTCTCGTCATGAGATATCAGTAGAAATCCAATTACAGAGGCAGCAACCCGATTATAACAGTAGTGGTCATCCGACTCATTTTCTCACTGATGACATACTCATTCTATCGTCCACCCATTCATTTAGCCTACACTCTATAGTACTAACCAAACAGAGAGAATGTTCTCCAGCAGAGACTAAACACAGCACTGAACAGATTTCCAGGCTGCATTTCACTGTCAAACTATTTTGAAATCGACTGATGGTATTTTACCTTGTTTTTGCTAAATCTATTTTTAACAAAGCCATTCTGCATAGGAAATGCCAAATTGACCATCTGCGTGAAAGGATTGGCTTATTTACTGAAATTAATCTCTTAAAATCCAACATAGTTGTGCACACACACACACACACACACACACGATATGTGTTAAACCTCAGTGACTCATACAGTAAACTCCCATTCAGGCCTAAGTATTAGCAATGTGTATTTTAGATGATGATGCTACAAAACTTTAGCTTTAAACCATTAAAAGGACATTTTTAAATAAGGGAATAAATACACATGAATTTGGCATTACATAAAAAAGGGCTAATTCTCCATCACACAGGCAAGTTCAAATAAGCCATTGTGTATTTTTACTTAGAAATATGAAGCTCCTCTGGAAGTGCTTCCTGAAGCCTCTGAGACGCCCGGTGATTGATTGAAGTATCTCTCATGTGTCTCTCACACACACACACACACACACACACACACACACACACACACACACACACACACACACACACACACACACACACACACACACACACACACACACACACGAAAGTGCAGGTGCACGTCATAGATTTTGCTGCTGCAGCACAAGTGAAGGATAAATGAAAGCAGCTCTCATGTCAACAATTGATCAATGAAACACACATATGCATAAAACCTACACTGACACAGTTTACACCAAGAAAGGGTCTTTAGGAAGCCAGAACCACTTTAACTGAATGCAAGCTCACACAACAGTTACAGAATGTCCTTTGTACTTCTGCCGGGAAGCATTAGAAGTATAAAGACCAGGTCAAGGTTTTGCTGGTTGGCATGTCCCAGTTAGCCCCTGCTGGTCAATGCTGAACAACACCATCTGGACCCAAAAACATCTTCCTCCATTAATCGCTATTCAAAATTTATGCAAAAAATCTAACATTTATGCATTCAAGCTATACATTTTTACCAGTATGTTCTAGCTGAGCGACTTGAAGACTAATTTGGTCAAGTTTTACAATTTCAAACAGTTGGTTTCAAACATTTTTTGTTTCTGTATTTAAAAAAAAAAAAAAAAAAAAAAAAAACTGTGCACATTTAAAAGTGTCCAAAAGCCTGAAAACACAATAAAAAATCTGGAATTTTGTTAATTTAAACCTGTAAACAAAATAGTAGTTTCTATGATTTTGAAAGTGTTTAAACAAAGAAAAGCTATGGTGTAAAATAATAATTATTATTTCAGATTCTGCACTATATACACCAACATATCAATACAAACACACCAAAGCTAACTTTAATTGAGTACACATTTTCAAAGTTTGTAATGTTTAAGTTAAGGGGGAAAAAAATGTTTATGTGCACTTGATTTGAGTAAACAGAACAATGAGCCTCATGCGAACTGGACTGGGTTATTGCAATAATAGTATTTATTTATATTAATGTGAAATAACTGTATTTATATATTGGTCCAACAATCAAAATTCTCTGACTTAATTAATATTCATGAGATATGCAAGTAGATTCAAGCGAACACATACACACAAAACAGCCTGTGTTGATCCTTACAGTCAGTGTAACCCTGCTCTGGTTCCTCAATATCATCCCTCTCTCCTTCACTCATTTTCTCCCTGGACTTTCTCTCTCCAAAAATACTCGCTCATCCTTCAGCACTGCGGGAATATTACAGGCCATCTCAGCTAATTCACTGGAAACCATCTGTGCCGTCGGGCCATTTAAACAGACACCTTCACACCTTCATCACCAGCTCTGTTACTCTATTATAACCTTTCTCATTAAAGGCCTCGCTAAATACCACAATCTGCTGCACTTTACTTTCCAAAATGCCATGTGCAGTTTTGTTTGAGAAACTGCATGTCGCCTCGCCAGGGTTGGTGAGATTCACATTGATGGGTTTTAATTGCACCGGGACGTTCACCTGACAGTGAGATGTGTTCACTATAACAACAGATCCAGCTCTAACACAAGCACTTTATAGAACAGTCACAGAAGAAATAATAAGACATTGCAACAGCCGTAATGAACCCTCTCAGGAATCAGTGTTCCCCAGATACGCATGTTTACAGGCAGAATCCCAGTCTAATTAACCAGCGCCACAGAAGCCGTCTCTAATGTCGACAGAGCAGGATCTGTGCTAATATTAGCCGACTGTATGACTGTCTGAACCCAGTCCTCAGATCCTCTTTCAGAGGACACACAGCGCACTATTTTCACAACTATATGAAATCAATGGACACTATTTACTGTTAAGACCCTATGAAATCAAAATTGGACTTAATTGGTGTTGCTAGTTAGCCTGGGAAAACCCAAACAACTTCCGGCAAATTTAGATTTGCTCTGAAAGTTAGTCTGGCAAAGAGCTCATTCAAGCTCATTTCCAATCCGCCGAAATCGCGGCACCAATCAGAAGCGTTGGGGCGGGCTTTACACGATGACGACAGCACTGGGATTTTGAAGCAGATTTTGTAGCCTACATTACAAAGATGGATGCCGCCGTCGAACATCACTCGTTCGAATCAGCTATCGCGTCTGTTTTAAGCGATTTGAACGTTTCCTTTTTGTTAAAAACCGAGCAAAGAACAACACTCGGAGATGTTTCTCCGCCGCTCTGCATTCGTCATCTCCTTCATCGCTCTGATTGGGTTTAGGTCTATCCGTGACGTCCGTTGGTGACGCCCCTCTGGAAATGATTTGTCTATGACGCTTTGCCAGACCATAACTCAGTTACAACTGAGAATGCTCTGGTTTTAGCAGGCTAGTTGCTAGTAAATTTCACTAATAAATATTACAAAGGAATGGCATGTACATAACACGTTGAATTAAACAAGTTAAAAAAAGTAAAACATGTTCCATTAATCTTTGTTTTATTGAAAACTTGGAAAAATATTTTTACAGTGTGGCTGTAGGGGTCATTTATTTGCTAAAATTTGACAAATATAAACATGAGTCTATGATGGCAGAATTTTCATTTTTCTGCAAACAAATACATTTAAAAATTCTGCAAATGACTCTTTCCTTTCTAGAGGACAAGGAACAAAAGAAGATGAATACAAATTCAAGACAGCCAAGCTCTTTCTGATCAAACTGATCCGCATGTATTTAGCACATTTATTGACTAATAACTTTGCCCTGAATAATAAGAAAGCCGTTCTATTGAGAGAGGTGAAAGCTGTAGCCATAGAGACAGAGACATCTCTCTCTCTCTCTCTCCTTCCCTTTCTGTCTGTCACTCATTGACTTTCTCACGCCACTTAAAATAATTCACACTGCGTTCTGTCCAAAGGCACACCTGTCACAATACAGTATATGAAGGAGGCTACCGAAAGTCGAATGCGTTCTGTCAATAGGACAGGCCTCTACAGGTCTGAGAGCAGCTCGACACCGCATTACAACATTAGTGACACTACATTCAACATCAGGTGGAGGTCCAACACAGTAACACATTTGTATAGTGAAGAAATGTATTAATATTAACATGAACACCAAAGGTTCAACAATATGCTAAATTAATAATGAAAAAACACATTGAACTAAAAAGTAATTGGCACAGCAGCTTTGGCTACACATTGACACATACGCTCATCTAAATCTGGCTGTGAAGTCAATAAACAAAAACAGGGTCATGATCGCATCAACACTGGAGAAGAGGAAAGTGTGCATGAGGGATGGTCGAGCTCGCGTTATCGTAAACGTGCTGTGACTCGTCCTCATTCCTGGAATATATTCAGAAAAGATTGATCAACAGCAGCTGTGTGTTATATTCTTCACGAACACCGAGATTACGGAGACCCACAGAGAATTCAGCAGCTATTGTCCTCCTCCCAGCGTTTACACTTCCAGACGCCTCCCACTCCTGAGCAAACTATTTTTACAACTTCTATTTTTACATTTTTTGAAGAAAAGCACAATATGGTCAGGATGAATTTCACACAGAAGTTTTATATTTAGCGATATATATCAATTCCTAACCACAGGTACAAGAATAGTCGACGTAACAAACACCACTAATGAATTAATCATCTAAAATATATCGATACATCCATAATAATAATAATAATAATAATAATAATGATCAATTCTTGATATACACTCACCGGCCACTTTATTAGGTACACCTGTCCAACTGCTCGTTA